TTGTTTGTTTACATATATATATATATATATATAGATATAGTTACATATATATATATATACATATTTACATATATATTTCCATATGTATATATATATATATACACACATAAACACAGAAGCAAACGCAAAAGCAGATTCGGATGCAGACACTGGTAGTAGATAGAAGCCGACACCGACATAGACAGAGACGGAGAACATAGACATAGACACAGACACAAACATAAACATAGACATGAATACAGGGACAGATGCAGATGTGCACGTTGACATCGACATAGATGGCAGTATAAAGTGCTGAATGTAAACGGATATAGGATATGGGCTAGGGACTACAGACTATAGAGTACAGATTATAGACTATAGAACACGGAATATCTCATATGGAGTATAGAGTATAGAAATATAGATACAGGCATAGGTACAAAAGAAACAATCATCTAGACATATATGGGGCATAGAAGGACAAAGAGATAGCCAGCTAGCTAGCTAGCCAGCCAGGTAGTTAGCTAGTAGATGGATCGATAGATAGATAGATAGACAGACAGATAGATAGATACATCGGCAGATAGATGAATAGATAGATAGAAGGATAGACAGATACATGGATAGACAGATAGATAAATAGATAGATAGACAGATAGACGGACAGATAGGTAGATGGAGAGCTACAGGTAGATAGGTAGATAGACAGAGGTATACCCCAGAGCTGAATTGAACAAACGGGTTTGAGGTGATGGGGTGCGGTCTCTCCATGCTTCATGGCCATCGCTGGACGAAGGGGGGCATTCTCACCGGAGCCGGGGCAACAGGCCACCGTCACGCGTTTCATCACCTCTTTCCCCATGTCCCTGTCATGCTCCATCCGGGACTCGAGCCCTTTTCCCGTCACCGTCAGCTTCTCACCCAGTTCCTGTGCCGACATCCGGCGACTGTCCCTGTTCACGTCTACCCGGGGCAAGAAGGGGGAGAAGGTAGGCCTCACAACTGCCGCACGCCTTTCGAAGCGGCGCAGTTCATGGCGCCGGTGCATTACACCGAATCCATTAACGCCAGGTAGGCCCACGTTGAGGCCACAATGGCTGCAAACTGCTCTCGTGCACGGCCTCATCATCGGCCTTCTGGCACGACACTCTTAATAATCGTGTCTCGCATATATACAAGAGCACCTGCCGGAGTACCTGCAGGATCCACTAGCCGTCGCATTGCCAAGAAAACCCGAGGAGCAGGAGGGAGAATAAGATGCTGAAGACGATGACAATGCTAGCCAGCATCATAATATCGATCAGAGGGCGGTTGCGCCGGGAGTGGTGGTGCTGGTGGTTGCACTGTCGGTGGTCTACAGTCGGTCCGTTGGTGATTGTGATCGCGTTGATGATGATGACTTTGGCTGTGATGGTAATGATGGTCTCGGTGATAAGCATCATCATCTTCTCCTTCGTCATCATCGTCATTACTTTGTCTTGTGTTAGCACTTTCCTTCAGCCAGGTCACACCGGCTTGCGGACAAAGACGGTCTGCACAAACGGCGGAGCTTCATGCCAACAGTGGAGTACTCCCAGATCCTGCTCCAAGCTTCGCAACTTCTGGCTGGATCCCACGTGGAACATCAGGCAGTCAAACACAAGCCACAGACACGCGATGACGCACAAAGTCAACACCAGCCCCAGACACCACGATGTCGCTTCGTGCATTCCTCCCGGTTACCTGCCTGAACCTCCGGAAAGTTCGGGATGGGCACAAAGCTGTCTGGAATCAGCTGCCAATCATCTGGCCTTGATGTGATCAAGCTCTTTGCTAGGCCCACTTGGAGGTGAGAAGGTTTGGTGGCACATGGCATGTGACGGACATCTGTTGTTAATAGCCGTTAGTACAGACGGCCTTGAAAGGTTCTTCTCTCGTTCCGCAGTGTCCACATACGCGTGGCTGCAGCCATCCAAAACCCGAAATCCTATCCGTGTGCAAGGGGAGGCTGACGGATTTATGGTGAAGGTGCAGGTTGAATTCAAGGTGAATCAGTGGCACCGGCAAACTTACTAGTTGGCTTACAAAGTTCACCACCACCACCCGACCCTTTTGGGTCCTTGTCAATTGCACGACTGGTGGGCTGTCGAACACTCACCCGAACCAAGAACCAAGTAGACAAACGATAGCTGCGCCAGCTCCCTTTTCGATGACTTTGACATCAGCGCAGCGTCCAGTCCTGCGATCTCCCAGGAGATTCTGTGGGTTTGCGGCTTCGTGGAGCATGCGGTGACCACAAGGGAAGTGTTGACCGGAATAGTTAGAACTGCAAAGTACGAAAATTCTTCTAATCTTAACATGTCGGCATAGTGTTACTTGGCACATACGGAAATCAACACTCGCTGCCTTCTGAAATCTCTCTATGCTCAGCGACTTAGACCACCGAACAGCCACGAAACCTCATTCACTCATGCACTCGAAGCCGGAATCTGGTGCGATGCCTTGTCCGTTGAAATTCCTAATGGCGACTCATAAACACAACAGTCCCACCGGTGCCTGTCCTTGAGCTTCCGCAGCTTTGCTTTCGCTGCCAGCAGCGCTTCTCGATGCCGAGGGCAAATGTCCGGGTGCCAGAAGCGCACCAGGAGCACCTCAGCTGACTTCCGAGATCAGGTTCACGACCCACAACCTTTGACATGAAACCTGGAGCCTCATGTTCAGCGCTACGCGGGGTGCGAGTTCAGGACAGAAGCCTGCGAGGGGGGCTGAGGAACCTTACGGCCAAGGCTAATCATGCTTAGGCTTGTCTTCGCCAGCATCACCGTCAGCATCGCGGTCGTCATCATCACTGCCATCAGTCAGCATCACTATCATAATCACCATCATCTTCATACCATGGTGGTTACGCCCGCCGTCTTCCCGTGCAACGGATGTGCCGGAGACCCTGAGCATCAGTGCAGAAGCGATGCTCATTCCGCAATAGACACCAAACAGCCATCAGAAACAAAACATTGCACATGAGCATCCCATTGCAGGCCTCGTCGCATGAACAGTCCTCATAGATAACCAAGGCTGTCACATCACATCACTGAAGGGTTTGCTTTCCTAAACCTCATGGAGTTGTGAATCATTCGGCTTCCCGTCTAGGCTGCCGACTTGATGAAGGATTTTACACGACAAGGCTGCCCCAAAGAAGCCGTGAAGCAGAAATACCATAGTGATGAGTTCGACGCCCGAGAATATGCTCAGCAGCCCCTTCGAGCGTGAGAGATAGAGGTGCACTGGGGCCCGAGCAAATCGATTGTCGGCCCCGTCATGCCGGACCTTCATAATTAGACTATGTGTGTATGCGTGTGTGTATACATATATATATATATATATAGATATAGATATCTTTCTTTGGTTTCGGCCGGTAGCTGTCGGGGTTTCAGGGCTCAGGGTTGTAGTTTTGGGAATGGGGGTTGAGCGTGAGCGTTTGGGCTTTGCGGCTCGTAAACCTGGGTAGAACGAAAGGATCTGCACACCCTTGCGTCGGCATGTCCTCTCATGACACCTTTTCCGACATCCTGCGAAGTTCCTGGTGCAGCATCAGATGAACAAGGGTAGCAATGCCAGAACAGAGATTCGAACGGGAGGAAGCGACGCCGTGGTGCAGGGACGGCAGCATCTCACGGCTGCACATGGAGGTTGCATGCTATTTTATTGTCGTCCATCGGGCTAGGAACGACAAGCATCACTAGCTACAACGAGCTAGAACGACAGGAATAGGACCATGAGAAGCATAAGCAAATCAACCCAAGAATTCTGTTACTGTGGCCCGTCAAGATTTGGGATGTGTGGCCTACTGTAAGATGTACTGTAGGATATGGTTCCCTGAACCCCCCACTCCCGGTTTCCTCATGCTCGAAGGAGTCATCGAAGACCAAACATCGGCCTCACTCGGGCTTTCAAGATTTTATTGTCATACTATATTATACTATATTATACTGTATTTTACTGTACTATATTATATTATACTATATGATATTATACGTCTGTGTAGGGTTTCGGTTCGGGGCTTCGTGGCCTGGAGAGAGATGGGCCTTGAGCAGTGTACGGTCTAGGGTTTAGGGTTTAGGGGTTTAGGGGTTTAGGGTTTGGGGGTTTAGGGTTTAGGGTGACCCCGGGTCTTGACAACAGAAAGCTTTGGGATGGTAGCTGGCGGTGATGAGACTCAGTGGATATGTAAGCTGACTCCCGAGAATCTCAAGCCCGGGGGCTCGGAACAGACTGGATCTCTGATAAACTTGGCAGCACAGCCTTTGATCCTGGACGGTTCTTGGCGTCTTCCAGCAAGGTCCGTAATCAAGGCCCTTCGAGATTCCAGACAAAAACTTAACAGAGAGTACCGGCCATCCTGAAGCAGACTCCTCGCGAAGATTTCTGCACTCGGGCATGCACCCTCCGCCCAGGTCCGCCATTCATGGCCCACCCGGATGGCGCAACCGGGTGGCACCTGCTACTTTGGATCGCGGTGAAGGGCATGGAAGATTGAGCAGCTGATCAAAATGACTTCTTAAGTATCTCCTGGCTGCGGCTATGCATATAGACACAGCGGCTTGGTCGCCCTTTCTTGGGAGCCTTCAGGCCGAGGTGGCAGGTCAGGTGTAGGTTGCTCGGCCCACAATGCGGCTTGAGCTGCGTGCCAGGCGTCAGGCCTGGTGAGGGTGAGGACTTACAGTAGGTGCCGGCGCACAGCTTAGAATGCAGTGGACGGTGATGTATCGCAATCGGTTGCAGCATAGTGCCTTTAGGGGGCATTTAGTTTCGACATTTCCGGCTTCGCCTGGCTAATTACAGTTTTTCAGGTGCTGCGGCATCAGGAAAACCCGGTCACGGCAGGAGTTTAAACATGTTTAACAAGACCCCCGCACACTCCAGGATGTCCATAAGCTATGCACCATATGCGCATGTACCAAGAACAAGCTGCAATGACACAATGCCCTTGATTCAGCGACTTCCATCGACTTTGGCAAATCTCGAAACTGCAGGCTCTGTCTCACGAGCTCTTGCGGACACCCAGGGGCATTGAAGTCCCAAGGTCATCCTCATGGATCCTAGAACGCTTTGGTTGGATGCGGCATGGCAATGTCTGCAAGAAAGCGTCGTGCAGACATTCAAGCAGTTCAACTACCACCTTGCATCATCTTCATCAAGCCATCAGGGATAGCATAATTCTTTACCCCAAACAACCCCAACTCATTCCCAAAGGCCCATAAAAGCATGGACCAACTGCGCACCTTAAGCCTCACAGCCCAACAAAAGTTCGACCCGAGTGACGGGAGAAGAGGGCCGTCTCCTCGCCCGGACAGAGGTCCCGGTGGCTGCGAACGGCCTCCACCTCCAGGTGACGGTTTAGGGTTTTGGGTTTTGGGTTTAGGGCTTCGGGCGTCCGCAGGGCTTAGTTCTAATTACCGGTTGGGCTGAAACTAGCACATGACGACTAGCAGTGACTAGCATACGTAGATTCATAGAAATCGTAATCATGCTTCCAGCGATGGCAGTAACTCCAATGGTGGTGGAACCATAATCGCTTAACCGGCTTGTAAGAGACTACAGCAAAGCTTCTGGAAGTGTTTCTGCCTCCTCTAGAAGCTCAGTCGTCTTTGGACAGCTTCGTCTCGCCATGTCATCCAACCTGCTCAACAGTGTGGGTCCGTGGGCACATCTCACATACGGCTATTCCACTGCTTGGATGACCCACATCTGACTGCAAGCCAGTTTCACCTCTTTAACATTGTCACACGGATTCCGAAGAATGGCTTGGCACGTCTGCGACCTGCTGGGTTTGCTTGAGTCTGAGTGGCGAGGCAGAAAGTCCCAGCAAGGAGAACTCGCGCCAGACGCCGGTCCTCGGTCATCAGAGGACGGCTGCACTGGTTCCGTTCTAAACTTTGCCACGCACCTACCGAACCACCGAATCAGCGCCAACTCCAATCTCCTCATGGTGCATGTGAGGATGCCGTCGCAGCACTAGCAGTAGCAGTGGCAACGGTAGTCGTCATGGTGGTTACATGGACATAGTAGTAGTCGTCGTCGTCGTAGCAGCAGCAGCAGCAGCAGTAGCAGTAGTAGTAGCAGTAGCTTGCAGTAGCACTTGCAGTAGCACTCGCAGTAGTAGTAGTAGCAGCAGCAGCAGGAGTAGTAGTAGTAGTAGTAGTAGTAGTAGCAGCAGCAGCAGCAGCAGTAGCTGCACGTCGACTTTGGCGACGATGCCGGTAACGGTGGGCTATAAAGTTGGTGACGGTGGTGATGAGGTTGTTCATGATCATGATGATGATGGTGTTGATGGTGACGATCGTGCTGATTAGGGAGATGATTGGGACAATGCTGAGGGTAGCAGCAGTGGCAGTGGTGGTGGTGGTGGTGGTGGTGGTGGTGCTGCTGCTGCTGCTGCTGCCGCCGCTGCTGCTGCTGAGATTGCCCGCACATCGCCACCGGGCGGCCCTCCTGCTAGGTTGCGGTCGTGCCCTCGGACCTCTGGCCAGGACTCGCCGTCCTCGCGAAGAACCGGATTTCGTGATTTGAGAAGTTGAGGCCTGGACTCGGCGTTCGGGAGTCTAGGGGGGGAGCTGGCCACAGCTGTAGCCATCCTCGGTATTGTGGAAGGACCGATGCCCACAAGCGTTGCTGCTGCCGCTGCTACGACTAGTAGACTAATGACTAGTGACCAGTGCTACTGCCATTAAGGGCCTAAAAAATTACCAATACTATTTTGGGAGTTCTTATTATGATTATAGTATAGTATACTCCACAACCCTATTGCTACTTCTGCTGGCCTCCAGAGCCTCCAGTTCCTCGCGGATCTCGCGCCTCAAGTGGTTCTGGACTGGGTTTTCGGTTTAGTTTTTTTTTCGGTTTAGTTTAGGATTTAGGGTTTAGGTTTTATGGTTTAGGGTTGTGATGCGATGTCAAAAAGTGGCACAGGGTCACAAAAGATGTTCCACGAACGCTGCATAAGATGAGAATCCCCACTGCACCAACACCCCATTGGAAACACCTATATTGACATCTTTATACACGTACATAAACATTGACAATATACGTATACATATACATAGAAATATATACACATCTATATATATATATATACATACACATGCAGCCATATGCGTATACATACAATTATTCTTGCACACATAGTCACAAAAGCCTGATCAGCATCAGGCGCCCATATTACCTCACTCGCCAACTTAGGAACTTGTGTAAAAGTCGTCAAGGATGGGACACTGTATCCGGATCGCTGAGATGAAGATCTTGCACAAGTGTCTCGGATGTGGTAGCACTACAAAGAAGAGTACGAGTACTCGGCCACACCATGGATGGGTAGCCATGTTCCTGCGTGCTTAGTAGCAGAAAACTTGCACGAGTACTCGACGTTGAAATGATGCGCAGGGAGCCATTTCGTTACGGTGAACACTTAACTCGCAGAGGCACAGTCAAAACACAAATCACAGTAGCAAGATCGACACTACGCACCCAAATATAGTCATCACCATCAGCTTTTGGTTTAGGGCTGAGGGCGATGCACTGCTCAGGTTGTAGTGAGCTCGTGTCGGCAGCTTTTCACAAACTTGCGCTATAAATTAAAAAAGCGAAGCTAGGGGTAGGCGAGATAAGGGCTCAGAAGCAGGGCACGACATGCAAACAAAAGTGTCCATCAACTTGGCTTTAAGAAGCTTACCTACCTCAGATAGGACCCAGATCAGGCAGCCGAGGGACCAGTGCAGCTCTAACTTGGCCATCCAGGGAAACAGCTGCGCCTCGAAAAAGCCATCGAATAAGGGTTTAGGGTTTAGGGTTTAGGGTTTAGGGTTTTGGGTTTAGGGTTTAGGGAAGGCCCTCCGCAAACTCGCGGTGGGATCCCCAGCTCTCTGCTGTTTATTTATTTATCTAACTTGTTATTCATTATTATTCGTAGAGTAGTAGTAGTAGTAGTAGTAGTAGTAGTAGTAGTAGTAGTATGATTATTAATATTAGTATATATTTTGTATATATTTTCATATTGATACTATAGAATCCTTGCTAGATCACCCCGGTAGCGGTGCCCTGGCCTCGTGCCAGGCTTTGGACGTGAGGCCAGGCACGAAATGGCCAGGTCCTGAGATTCTTGGGTTTATATTATAGCATGTTATAGTATATTATAGTATGTTTCTGTATACTAGAGTATATTCTAGTATATAATTAGTATAACTCCATCTTGGCAGGATTCTTAAAAAGGGGCTCTGCCCAATTGCTCTCCATGGCTCTTTGCAGCGGATGCACCCAAAAGCCACAGCAGCTTTGCACGGCCTGCCCGGTCTCTTCTAGGTTCTAGGGTGTAGGGTTAGTAGGGCTTTCAGTTTAGGGTTTATAGGCCATTAAGTTTAGGGCGTAGGGTTTAAAGGGTTTTAAGTATAGGGTGATCGGAGCTACATTGCGATCCTCCTCTCGCATCGGCAAACAACTCCAGCTCTGAGTCCCTAACCTGGGAGTCAAACCGTGTGCCTTCCTGGCAAAGACCTGGGACCTATGTGTCTCCGAAAGCGTGGGGATCGATGAGGCCTGGCATCATGCTAGAAGTGAGTCCCAGAGACCCAAGAGGCCTTGAGCGCGACTTGCTCGGCGCCAGATAGGTCCCCCAACATCGTGTAAGAGAGCGCCCAGCTCGTGTAGCTTTGCGGGTAGCCTGACGAATGGCTTGCAAGCACTGCAGTATATCATGTATGCGCTCTGCTCGGCAATCGCTGACACAGAGACTCTAACCTCTAGGTCTTGTGCCACCTGTGCATCGAGGCGTATGCAGACACAGCCAACCTAGAGTATTCGGGTATAGAGCTGCATGAACGAAGCACCTCAGCTAATGTCGGACCTGAAGCTTGTAGTTCCTGAGCTTAAAGCTCTGGAAACTGGAAACCCCCCCCATAACCCTCAGCTCAAAGCCTCAAAAGACGCCGATTCGTTCTACGATCCATCCTACGCGAACCGAGGGGCCTGAAGCTAAGTCCTCTGCCTCCGCGAAGTGACCTGGCGTTGGATTGAGTTCCGGTATGAAGTTTCAGGGTTTCGGGTTTAAACTGAGCTTGGTTTCAGTTTAGGTGTATACGATCCAGGGTTCAGGGCTTGGGTATGTCATATATCTTTCCAAATCTCCTAGTTGTCATGACAAAGTCCTTGATAAGATCCATGCCTATGCGATCGTAAAGAGCTGCGGGGGAGCCCTGTACCACAATCTGCTGGGAAGCAAACCTTCCCTTCCCTTCCCTCGAGAGCCCACGGCCACCGAATCAATTAAGGAACTCACATGCTGAGCATACCATAATTACATGGCAACAGGAAGCCCTGCCATGCAGTTCAGGCTTAAGGTATGCTCCTTCACTGAGGGCTATGTTCCTTTACTGAGGGGTACTGTGCCCTCTTGGTTCAAACTGGCCAGAAGCAGCTTTGAGCCGCTCGGAAAGCGGCGGCCGCTCGCTGCGGCTCCTGCATGGAAGAACCAGGGCCCCACAGCATAGCATACCTTTAGTCTCCATTGTAGTTCCTTCTTTTGGTGTAACCAAATATCTATTACGGATTTTATACGGTATCCCCCAAAAGGAACCACAATGGAGACTATAGACTATAGGTATAGACTCCATATAGAGGTTTCTATGAAGTTCTGGCTATGGCGCTGATAGTGATTCAAAAGCAGTCTCCGAGCAGGGACGAGGGATGCAGGAGGCTGCAGCTCTTTGATGTTCCAGGCCACATACACAACTTTCGGATGTGCCGGTCCCTGGGCTTGATGCACAAGGAAAGCGCACATCAGAGCGGTCTTCCCCTACCGAAGATTTGGGTAGCTATCAATCACAAATAGCAGACGGTTTCGAACTTCATGGGGGTAGTTTTCAATATCAGGGTCCCATTTAGGGTCCTTTTTATAAGGGTGCCATACTATATTGGGGACCCAAAAAGGGACCCTAATTTAGAGAACTACCCGTGTCGTACTTGTGGCCCTGCAAGCGCGGTAAAAATCGGCAGGTCTTGGCCCAGACCCTCAAGGCAAATCCTGCCGTCCCAAACCGTCACCTGAGGCCTAGAACTCCCCGAACCTCATAACATAGCGGCCTTCATACTTAGAACAAGGTTTTGGGGCTCATCATGCTATAATTATAATGAATAAGGAACCCCCCAAAATAATATGTGTAATTATTTCGGCCCCTATATTAATTCTGGAGCTGAAAGCAGAACAAGTTGCTGAGGGAGAGCCAGGCCCTTCGGAATCTCCCATTCTCGAGAAGCCTACTGAAGCCAAGAGTTTGATCATAATGAGGAGCCCTAATCCCTAAGCCCCTAAACCCTAAAAAGGTAGGTTAAACCTGGGGTTAGACATGCAATCAGGAGACGAGCTAGATGGCAGCCATGGGCATTTTGGTGGGGCTGAGTCATCGAGTGCAGCCGATGGTGCTGTTTCGCATTGTAATGCCGGACAATATAGGGGCCTTAACAACTAGAATAGCAGCCCATCATACTATAAATACAGTAAGGAATCCCCGAAATAGTCTTGGTATATTCTAGCATAAGAGATAGTTTTGGTAATTATCTAGGCCCTACATTGCCCGCTGTAGCTCGAGGGGTTGCAGCTCGTCGATGCATTCCACGTGTTGGAAATATCAGGTTTAGGGTTTAGGATCCTACTATTTGGGAGTTTTAGGGTTTAGGATCCCCCTACTGTTTGGGGGTTTAGGATTTAGGATCCTACATTTGGGGGTTTCAGGGTTTAGGATCCTATACTATTAGGGTTTAGGGTTCAGGTGAAGGTCTTGACTGTCTGCCTTCCTGCTTTAGTTCCAGCGTGGGTTCATACTGTACCTTTGTCTTCCTCCTGGTCTAGATTTTCGTTGTAATTGGCCGCTTCCGGCTATGCAGGCGTGCATGCCTCTCGCTTGTGTTGGTTGACTTGTTCTGTTTGATCGTTTCGCTGATGCTGGAATACTGGTTGTTGTGTGTCTCAGTCAGGCTGGGATCGAAAATTCTGGCTTAGCGTAGCGCTGTTTGCTCCACTTTGCATCCAAGCATCATTTTAGTTGTTTGGCGAGCCCTGGACTAGACACCGAAAAGACGTGAAGTCCTCCGTGGCCAGCTGTAGGCCCAGCTGGTTTCGAACTTCGCCCAGCAGCCGAAGAACGGAGGCGGATCTGAAGAGCCGCAAGGTCTCCTCTCAGTTAGTTTGGGGTTTAGGGGTTAAGAGTTTAGGGGTTTAAGGGTTTAGGGGTTTAGGGGTACTTGAGCCTTTCTGAGGACCAAAGCTCCGAAGCCCAAACATCTGGTCCCGAAGCGAGACCCTCGAACTGTAGCGTTTCCAAGCGCAAAGCCTGGAACCGGACAACCGCACATCGTACACCCTAAACCCGCGCAACAAATGACCAGAAGCAACACAACGAGCTAAAGTTTACCAGAAAAGTTGGCAGCCCCGAACCCCAGACTTTAAAACCCTAAACCCCCAGAGCCCCTGAAAACCCTAAACCTTTTGAGGATTTCGTGGGCCCACAGACCCCCCCTAAAAGAGCCTCCCCGAGCTGCAGGGCTTCCAAAAACCGTCTCTGGTAGGTTAGGCAGACCATGAAGAAGCGCCGCGATGCCTCGTGCAGGCTCTGAGAATTAGGGTTTAGGGTTACGTAGGGGTTTTAGGGTTTAGGGTTTTAGGTTTTAGGGTTTAGGGTTTTAGGGTTTTAGGGTTAGGGGTTTTAGGGTTTAGGGTTCGGGGTTTTAGGGTTTAGGGTTAGGGGCTTTAGGGTTTAGAGTTTCGGGGCTTATTTTAGGGCTGAGGGCTGCAAGGCTCTATCTATAGAGCTTAAGCCTTGGAGCCTCGTTTCGGGGTGGAGGCTTCGTTTCGGAGAAACCCCGTGAAGTCCCTTGCCACATCCTTCAGCCCGGAGTGCCTGTATGACGCTGAGCCAAATAGCACCGAAGGTACCGCCTAAGAGGGGCCAAAAACTGAGAATCGGAAACGATTGTACATCCCCGAGCTCTAATGTGAAAGCACGAGTTACTAAGTCCCAAACTTTACACTAGTGTCCTTTCAGTTTAACAGTGTACAATACAAAGATACACATAACTGTGGGTGGACGTTGGCGTTACATACTTCTAGTATCCTATCAGTTCAACCGTTTACAATGCAAAGATACACAAATCTGTGGGTGGACGTTGGCCTTACATACGTCTAGTGTCCTTTCAGTTTACAATACAAAGATACACAAATCTGCGGGTGGACGTTGGCGATACATACTTCTAGTGTCCTTTTTCAGTTTAAAAGTTTACAATACAAAGGTAGACCAATCTGTGGGTAGACGCTTTGCGACACACGGCTCTGTCATCGCACAATCGGTCCGGTAGGCTGGCTCTGCCCAGACTGACATGAGATTCCCTTATACTTCGGGCATTTCGTCTGGGATCCGGTGCAATTGTTTACCAGAATTGGTCTGAGAGGCCCGCCCGTTGAGACCAAAGCTCATGACGATTGCAAGAACAAGGACCATAGAAGCTCTTCCTTTGTGTTCTGCCGGTGTTTTTGATCACACCAGTGTTGCGGACTACTGCTGCTACTCCACATCCTGCTGATGCGACTACGCCAACGAGAAACCCTGAAGCTAAACCCCGATCCCTGAGCTGTGTTAGCCCATGAACCCCAGGAGCCCTAAACCTGCAACCCTCAATCCTGTACGTCCCAGACGCAAATTTAAAGCCCATTACAACAACACATATAAAGACCAGCAACACCGCTTAACATACCAACGCCACAACAATCATGAACACCTCTCTACCCCCTCGAAAACCCGTGCAAACCCCATCTTCTAAACCCGACCCAAGCCAAAGAAAAGAGCCCGAAGAGCCCTGCCCTACTTCTTCCCGGCCTCGGCTAGCGGCCCAAGGTCTCCCTGGCACAAGGCCTCCTCGGAGAACCACAATCGCTTGTGCCAGGGCCTTTAAAGGACAACCTTACATCGGGTTGACCATCGACCTTACGTCATGAGAGTCTGTAGGGTTTGTGCGGGTTTACCTGGCCTTTGTCGGGCTGTATCAACTTTAGGTTGTCTGGGGCTCACAGAGTTTAGGGTGAATCCGTCCTACGGGCGAGAAAAGGGCTTAGGGCTGTAGGATTAAGGTTTATAAGGCTCATAGGGACTTCCTTAGATGGACAGGGTTTAGGGTTTTGGCTGTAGGCTTTAGGGCAGAATTTCTGCAGAACTCCAATCATGTTCGGGTGCAGGTCTGGCCAAAGCGATTCTTGCGGACGTGCATGTCTTGCCAGTGAACGACTCTAGAGGTGGTGTGCATGTGGTGCTTATCTTCAGCTGCAACCGATTTCCTCCGAAGCTGAAAATCCCCAGAGGACAAACGCAAAAAAGACACACTCACATGCCACCCCCCAAGGTTCACAATATGAGGCTGTGCAGGGTCTTTTGTTGAGTTTCGTAAGATTTCTTCCACTCGTGCAGATGGCAAAGGCTCGAGAGTTGATACGGCGTGTCGCCTCGGAGCCGCCCCGCCAGGACCTATGTAACCGGAGACACATGCGAGGACAAATTTCTGGCAGCCCTACAATACACAAGTCGGGCCTCTAAGCGCTGTCCAGCCTCGGCAAAGGAGGCGCCGGCGTCCTGCGAAGGAGGTTTGGTTGCTCTTGACACTGGCAGTGTGGATCTTGCTGCAAATGGGTTAGGGCGTAAGCTTCTGGGTCCTGCCAAGTACGACTTGTTCTTGCTGCTGCCATTAACTGTCGGCCATCTCACCACCAAAACACGGAGCTATCCCAAACCTACTACTTGCGATGCCGGCTTGTTGCTAGAGCTCCTCGTAGCGAATGGCATCTTGCAAGAAAAGACCGCGCGCATACCTGCAGTGCGCGAGCACTCCATCAGAGCACACTTCGAGCAGCCGCCAAGACAAGATAAATAGCCAGAAGCTCGGATCCAAGCTGATCCGAGTACATGGTTCCTACCAGACCCAGTCTTGAGTACACTACACACCCACTTTGCTTGGGCCCGGCAAAACACTAGCTTTCTGATCAAATCCGAATGCATATATGTGTTGCTGTGCACATACATACATACATACATACATACATACATACTTACATACATTCATACATACATACATACATACATACATATGCAAACACCTTCGGATGTCTGTGTGTGTGAGTAGGCATGCACGCATGCATGTATATCCGCACATATAAAACTAGATATCATTCATCTATCTATCTATGTATCTATCTATCTCTCTCTCTCTCTCTGTCTGCCTGTCTGTCTACCTAACGAGCAACAAATAGGTATATGTGCTTTGTCATACATGTGTTTTCGCATTCACTTCCTTACCTGGCTGACGTGGGCATCTATATCTCTATCTTAACATGTATGTATGCAGGTACATACGTACATTTGTATATGCACATACATCCATACATACATCCATCCATACATCCCTACATACATCCATACGTTCATACATACATACATACATACATACATACATGCATACATACATACATGCATACATACATCCCTACATACATTCATACATACATACATACATACATGCATACATACATACATACATATACATATACATATACAAAAACATGTACATATACATATACATATGCATATACATACATGTACATACATACATACATACATACATACATACATACATACATACATACATACAGATACATACATACATACAGATACATACAGATACATACAGATACATACAGATACATACAGATACATACATACAGATACATACATACATACATACATACATACATACATTCATACATACATATACGCACGTAGGTATGTATGTACATACGTGTACGTATGTACCTGTCTGCATCTGTGTATGTACATGCTGTAAACTTTACAGATGCATCGGGCGGAACTTCCGACTGAGGAGAGTGCCACAGACACCCCAGGATCTCTTGCTGGCACACAGAGGCCTCCGGCGCAGGATGGCTGGGGCTTTAGGGCTTCAGGGTCTCTGTTCAAGTGGCTTAGGGCTCAGGGAGTGAGGGTCTCTGTTCAGGGGGCTTAGGGGTTTAGGCTTACGGCCAGGCTGCTAAACTGCAGGGCATCTTACCAATTGAGGTTCTACGATTCCTAACACTAGGGCTCTTTACCCTGAAAGGTAGGTTGCTCCACTTTCCTGGGAGTAGCATCCCGATGCTGTCTCAAACTGGCCCCTGGAACCACAAAAGCCTGCCACCAAATGCCATGGAACTTGAACTTCAGCTGCGAATCTGGATTAAGGACTTCAGGTTTAAGTTTAGGAGGCTGATAGACGGGCCTGAAGAATGAGAATAAGAGTCGAGCTCCCGAAGCTATGCTCCCCAAGACGTCACCTTAACGTAACCTCATCTTACATTAACGTGCGGCCTTCCTCCTGTACCGAAATGCCTAGATGCGGCCTGCAGCTCCTGAGACCTCCCCAAAACCCCAAACCCTAAAACCTAGAGACCTAACTCCTAAACCCTAAATCCTGAACCCTAAACCCTGAATCCTATACTCTAAACCCCTATAAGGCAATCCTGAACCCTAAACCCTAAATCCTATACTCAAAACTAAACCCCTATAAGGCCTAAAACTCCCGAGAGATGCCTCCAGCAACTCCTGGCCTGTGCCTGCTGGCTCAGCACTCGGATGGCATCTGCGAGGCACCGCTCCACCTTCTGGAAGGCATTCGGCTTTAGGGTTTAGTGTTAGGATTCAGGGTTTAGGATTTAGGATGTTTTGTTTTTTAAAGCCCCTCTTCCGTCCGCATGTTGAGGGTTTAGGATTTAGGGCTTCGGTTCTAGAGTTGGGCCAAGGTTCAGGATCCAAAAGCCTCTGGGTTTGGTCTTAGGGTGTAGGGTCTTGGGGGCTCAGTCTTGCAAGGGCGTACGGCGATAGCGCACACTTTAGCCTTAGTCCCAAGGCACCTACAAGTAAATCCGATTCCGTCTCTCTCAACAGCCCTGACCTCCTGGAGGCTGGCAACACGGAGAGAGCCAGCCGAAAGGAGACTGCGCAGCAGCCGAAGGGCGGTGCACCACCTTGGATGCACGCCAGGGCCCGTGACTGTCAAAAGAAACTCTCAGAACCCGCTAGACTCTAGACTCGAACGCCGACCAACTCAGACGCAAGGGAAAACCTTCGTCCAACCGCTCATGCAACACAATGATGAATGCCTTTTCAGAACCAAAGCCACGCGAAGCGCCTGGGGCGTGGTGCGACGCCGCAGAGTGGAGACCTCTCACAAGGAGACACGTCCCAGATTTTGAGCCGAAGCTCCACCCGCACAATGTGCTGTGATTCCCTCGCCACCTGCTTTCTTGTCATCGAGGAGCAGGCTTTGAATAAGGCCCCAACGACAACCCTATCAAGCCCAACCCCAAAGTTTTGTAATCCCATAAATCTTTCTTCTAATCGTACAAGAAGAATAACCCTTGCAATTATCATCAGCCTCTAAGGTCCTAAAGCGTAGTGACAGCACCTGGCGTGGGCCGGGTGACGCGTCCTTTTCTGTCGAGGCATCCGTAGCCGAGAGCCACTGCGTGCTCTTCTGGAAACGTTGCAACACTTTAGGGCTTTAGGGGTTTAGGGTTCTAAGGTTTAGGCTCTAGTCTCTAACCCCCCTAAACCCAAACCCCTAAACCCTGAATCCTAAACCCTAAAGTTCTCTAAGTTCGAGCTGCCGGAAGGGGGAATTGACAACATTCCTTTCGGAACATCCGTTAAAATCAGACATCAACGTCGAAACAGTCATGATATGTCAAAAGGATTCGGGCCTTTTAGAATCCAACAAGTTTATCTGCATATTCTGAATTCCGCCCACAATTTTTGCACTTCCCACGTCTCAGACATGGTGTTCACACGAAGCACCACCACCACCACGAGGACGATGACGACGACTACTACTATAACATCAACAATCAGAATCTTAATATATGAATAACAATAGTAATGCTCATGATTATTGGTATAACAAAAAATAAATATGCTACTACTAACAATAATGATAGTAATAACAAAATATTGAAGTACCATGAGAATCCTACTAGTACTAGCAATAACTCTCGTTGTCATAGTAATGCCAATCGTACGAGCGATAGGATTAAGAATAAATCGAAAATAACAACAACGACAACAACAACAACAAAGGCCCTACCACTGTCGTAGCGCTCTGTAATAAGAAGGGTCCCACTGGCTCTAGTGAGGCTGCCGCCTAGCTGAGCATCGGAAGCTTCGGCCGCTTCCCGAGCAGCGCAGCGTTGCCGTCGCGGACATCGCCAAAGGTATAGTGTGTTCGAGCCATGGAATGGAACACTTTAAAATGTTGATATGACATATTCTATACCATAATAGCCATAACATATTAGATGACGAGAGAACGAATATACATGTGCACAGTGGTCCAAAAGCAAAAAATGAATTTGTATCTCCGCATGTATAAAAGGACCTGTATGAAGGAATGTGACGGGTGTCCTACCTTTGCTCTTGGAGCTTGGGTCTGTGGCTTTTGGAGCCTGGGCTGCGGGGTTTGGAATCTGGGGTGCAGGGCTGTAGGGTCCAAAAGGGAGTTGCAGCTTTCTACATCTGCTCTGCCTTGCTGGAGCCCGATGCACTGTTTACGCCGATCAAGAGCGAATGAAAGTGACCGCTTAAACCAAATCTACATACATACTTCATTACATAAATACCTACCTACCTACCTACCTACCCACCCACCCACCCACCGACCTACCTAAATTATACATACCTGCATGCCTGCCCGCGTGTGGTTCTTCATCTCAACCCCAGGCTTCTTGGAGAGCGCTTTCCTGAGGCGCCCGCGCAAAGATCAGAAAGCGCTGCCCCGCATCTGCCTGGACAGTCAGGGATGGCGACAGTGTGCCCGCGTCCCACACACAACAGAAAATCAACTCCTAGGATACTGAGCAATATCGAGATCTATTCTATTCTATTCTCCGGGGCATAGGGTGCGTGCGAAGCACCCCGCGCCGAAGGGCGCACCCCTCAGGGGGCAATATCGAGATCTCTCTCTCTCTGTCTGATCTCGGTGTGTGAGTCATGTTTGTCTGCGCGTGCATGCGTCTGACTTCCGTATCCGCGTAGGGTGCGTCCGCATACCCACGTGCACATATCAATACACCCACCATCAACCAACACTCGTGTAGATTTTAGTGTGTACATGTTTGCACATGCAGTCGTTTACCTAAATACACATCGCTGGCTGGAAGACAGAGACAGCTGGCCAAAGAGACAGCACAAGCACAAACACACATACATACATGCATGCATAAAGACATGCATACACACCTACTTACATGTCTACATAAGCACATACATAGATGCCAGCATGCATACATACACACATACATACATACATACATACATACATACATACATACATACATACATACACACGTACATTCGTACATGCATACACACATACAGTAAATAACCATACTTACTCGTTTGTGCATACTATATCTACATATGTATGTGCCTATACAAATATATATATATATATATATAGATAGATGGATAGATAGATACATAGATAGATAGGTAGATAGATAGTATGCACATGCTGTCACATACCTATGTATGTAAATAAACGCAGCTCTTGAGTTGCCATGCAACAGAACCAGCAGCAAGCATGTCGCTCCCTCAGCAGTCCTGATCAGGCCTTCCAGACAAATTTTGTCGTCCATTGCAGTCAGCATTGAACATGCCCGAGTACATTGGCAATTCGTGACATGTGTACAGGTTCTCCTGGAATAAACTAGCACTGGCTCTTGCCAACTTCGAAAACACCTAAGTTTGCTCTCACAGTAGTAAACTTGATGTCCATCTTAGACCCTCAGAGACCTACAACGACAGTCACCGACAAGGGAATCGCCAAAGCCAACCACAACGGCAAGGCAAGGGCCAGAGTCTTAAACCCAGCCAAACTCCGCCTGTCCAGGCAGGACTGCCATCGAAAAGGCGACCTGCAAAGCTGAAGGTGCTCTCCAAAGCCTTAAACCCAAACCCCCGAACCCTAAACGCCCTATAAACCCACGCCCTAGGTAAACCAACACCAAAAGCCTTCCCGAAAGCCACAGCTCCCGGCTCCAAGGCCAAAGAAAGGGCTTCGAGATGACGACAACGATGCGATGGTTTGTGACATGCTTTTCGCGTTCTGTATTACGGCATGCTCATAAATTGGTCCATCGAATAAATACCCCTCATGGGCAGCAACCCCCGATACCGATGAGACACTTTCTTGCCTCGTCCGAAGTTTTGATTACGCCTGTTTATATTTATGACTTGGAACCGGCGCCAGTGCAGAAAACAAAATGGTTGATAGACACTTCGTTAATGACAGTATGATGCCAATGATGACGACGATGATGATGGTGATGGTCATGAGGATGATGATGATCTTCATCATGATCTGAACATCTGGAATCGCGCCATTAGTCCAGTGCCCAATGCCACTCGCAAAGCCCGAAGCAATAACATAGCGTCGGTGCGACCTCTGTGTCTGGAAAGTCGAAGAAGCTGCTCTCCAAGAAAGGGCTGTTGGGGAGAATCTGCAGCAGACCTTGGAATCCGAACTCCACACTTTTCAACCAAGGCTTACGATTGACTTCAATTCTTTTGAGTCGGGTGGCGAACAGGGGCTAAGGTCTTACGAAGCCTTTGAGATGGAAGAGAGTGTTTTTGTGATGGAGTTAAAGCACAAAACCAAGCCCAGTCTGTTGTACAAGTTGCGTGACAACCTTGAAGCATATCTTGCCCTCAGCGACCTCCTAAGGCTAAGATTTGAACAAGGACGGAGAATAGCCGCGCATTATCCACCTGCATATGGAAGCATCTTTCCGAGACAAGTTCAAGGAGACGGCTAGGATATCGGACTCTCCCGTGAAGACCTAGCTGGAATTCACAGCACCCGGCCGCGCACCGGAGTGGCTTCCAGCTCCTCAGATCGCACATCAACCCATGCAATACGCGGCAGACAAGCAAAGCACTGCACACATTTACTGCCAGCCTTTCATGTGCAACATTGCTGCAAGGCTGCTGGGACAAGATGAACAAAAGGATGGACTCTAGCTTTTGCCAATGCTGGAAATGAGTTCAACAGCGAAACTTTGCTGCCAAAGGGTCTGCAATCTCGTCGCGGCCTTGCGTGGTCCAGTCAAGCCTCAGAGCCGAGAAACCACGCTTTGCCGAGCGACGAAGAACTGTCTCGAACGAACGGGCCCTGTGCATCCCTGTACCCTAAACCCTGAACCCAAGAGGGCTCATGGTTTACAAGGTTTCGGGGCCAGGCCCTTGACCCGAAAGCTCTTATGCAACTGTAAGTCAGGTGCTGCCTTAACAGTTTTGCCATGGCAGCTACGTCCGCACGGACAAGTTATGCACACAACGCATCTTACTGCCACAAAACTTATCACGGTCCTTGTAGGGCGACCTCAACACTCCTCCTGTATCGTGTCGGCATCAAGTTGTCGAACGGACATCTGAGGTTAGTTGTCTGCGCCTGAAACATGTTTAACTTAGGTAACCCCAACCCCCCAGGTACCTACTATATAGGGTACTAGAGCCCCTAGGGCACTATATAGTAGGTAACTGAGGGGGTAAGTAGGTAGGTACGTCGGCAGGTCGTCAGGTCGGAAGCCATTCGGTCGGTATGCAAGCAGCTAGTGGGTAGGTACATCGGCAGGTAGATGGGCAGGCAGGGCAAGTAGGCAGGTGTAAGTAATTCGGTAGATTTAGGTAGGAACATAACGAATGTGTGTGCATGTATGTGTTTAAGCGCGAATGTGCAAACTTACAGACATGATCCTGACATGCCGCTACAAACGGTTGTGTCCGTCTGCACGCCTTTGATGGTCTTACTGCATGTTAGCATGGATTGTATCTGTTTGTGTCGTCTCTGCTATACATATTATGTTTGTTCTGGCATACTGCATACATACTGCATGCCAAACATACCCCTAAACCCTAAACCCTAAACCCGCACATATTGCTGTATCTGTATACTGTAGGAAAGCAGCCCGAACACGCATTTCTAAGGCTCCCTCCATTGCAAGACTTCGCTGGCAGCAGCTTCGTGCGGAGGTGCACCTAGGGCTCCCGGATAACAGACCCTAACCCACCAGGTACCTACTATATAGGGCCCTAGCGGCTCTAGTACCCTATATAGTAGGTACCTGGGGGAGTTAGGAGACATGGCACAATAGGTGGATTCGGTGGACTCAACACATCTGCACGCGGGCAAAAATCTAGACTCGTGCACCAAGGTATTGGTGGGCGCCAAGGCCCACACTCTCTGCAGCAGTGGCGCTGGCACTGGCCAGGGCCTCCATCATTACAAACAAGGGTTGGGTAAGATATGGCGGATGCTCCTTCACATGCCTGGCCAGCAGCAGCCGCCGCCACGGCGGCACCGGCAGCAGCCTGACACGAGCTTCCACATACGATTTTGATTCTCTGCATAACCCAAGTGACAAGGCCTGGCTTCCATCATGAGTCAACACGATGAACGATAATGAATGCCCGTTTCAGGCTGAATGACTGGAGATGACTTAATGAAACAATGATGGCACATGAACTAGGACGGCAGTGTTGTTGTGTTCAAGGCATCTTGTAGCAATTATCACCCACCTGCATCACTACATGAGTCTGACCTGGCCGGGGCGGGCGACTGGGGAAGGTTATATAGGTTGAGTACAAAGGCCACGACGACATCGCTGATAAGACCACATCTGATCACACCGAAATTGAATTAAGATGCTTTTCGGCAGGATGGTTTCGGCATACTCAGTCATCGCCACGAGCCCTCTTGCACAGCCATTGGACCATTTGTACCGCAGCAGCACGAGTTGGCCTTTTCGTCAGTACCGCCGAGTGTCGGCATGAGTATGGGCTTGGGCTCGGCTTTGTGGTATTCAAACTCATTGAAAGACAAAATCTCCACGCCTAGATAAGACTTCAGTCCACTTCGCCTCGGCCGCTGTTACCAAGGAGCCACGAAGCCTTCATGTGCGGATCGGCTTGATGAGTTACAATCATCTTTACTCTGGCCACGCCTGGCCAGTACTGCCTGTTCTTCTTGTCACCGAGAGCACTATCGCTGAATATTTCATTATATTCATTCTTCGCTAGGCAAAAACTGCATGACGAGAACAAGCGGGGCTGCATGGGTTTGACTCGAGGCCGCGGTCTGTTTCGGCATGGGCTTGTTGACTCACACACGTAGCATTGAGCTAGCGTAGGCTCGCCTTCAGACTTACAAACTCTCGGTGTGTTGCAAGGATTGATGTAAGCTGATGTGTTCTCGCCTTCCTGCGATCGCACATGCATCACATGGCCCGCTCCAAACAAAATCCTTGCACCTCGGTCGTGAGAAGGACCTGAGCGTCCAAAGGACGCTTCCGGGCACCTGGAGACGGAGGGCCCGGAATCCGACTTCGACCAAGGTCCAGGGATCCGGGATGTATTATGAAGCCTGAACATGGGTTGAACTTCGAGATTCAGCAGTTCCTAGGTGGGCTTGTCATCTCCCTGTTGCGTGAAATCGGACTGCATTTGCTTGAAGACGATCTCGTCTACAAGGGTCAACGCATGCTTCCCACTAGGCTCCATGACGAAGACCAACCTCCGCCCCAACTCCGTCTGAAGCAATCATCAGCGTACCCCCCGAAGCAAGACCAGACGCTTTCGGGATTGATCCAGAGAGAGGGCTTTCGGCATGTGGCTGATTCTCTTAACGGTCGAGAGGCCTATGAAAGTATTGATCTGCTGAAGGCATTGACTGTTTTTTACGTCATCCCAGCACCATCACCCTTGTCATTGGGAACGTCCCACCCTACATCGGCATCCTGCAGAAGCCTTCCCGAGAGCATCATCACCGATATATAGCGCATCACAAATGTCGCTACTTTTCTCACATAGACGATTGCAGACGACCAAAAATCGTCGAACCTGCTAATGTACTTGACGAACCTTCATTCCGCGGCTGTCATCGGCATGATGCCCACCATGATCATAAGTTCCATCGTCATATAACGTCGAGTGTGTGTCACGGGCTTGAGGCAAGGCATCATCATCAGGAAACACAGATCCAACTTGACTACTGCATGAACATGGTAACATGTTTACATTGCCGTCATGCCGGGGGTGATTGCGCTCTGGCACCATGCCTCCGGGTTCTTCACGTTGCGAAGCCTGCCAAGGCGGAAATGCTCTGAGCTCGGCCGGAGGCTTGATTGCTGGGGAGGTCCGAGTTTTCCCAACATGGGCGTTGAGAGGCATCAGTCATCAGTCGATCTCGAGGCACATTGAAGCTTGTGATGCAGTGCTGCGACGAAGCTTCTCACTCCCCGAGAGCGCTCCTTTCTTCTAGAAGGGTCACAAGTGACAAACATGCACCTTGACATGATTTACCAGATCTCTCCTTTAAGTGGGGGTTTCAGAAAAAATAGGGGACCCTAATATAGTACCCCAAATAGTAGGATCCTTATTATAAGGACCCCAAAATAAGGTACCCCTTGTTTTCAGAAACTCCCAAGTCTCCTTTGCCCTCATCAGTTGGGAGCCTGAGCCCGAAGAGCCGCCCCGCGGCAAAGTCTGCAGCAAGGGCAAGGCGAGACGCTGCAGGCCGCAGCAGAAGAACCTGGCCGTGCTGTGGGCCTTTTGTATACTTGTGCACAGGTCACTGCAGTTTCGGATTGCTCTTACAGTATCTTGGGGCTTCTTCGACAATGTTCGGTTCGAGTATGTTATTCTTTGATCATCCATAACCCTATCCCTCACAGAAAACATGATTTTCACAGCGGGGCTTCAATGCATTGGTCAGGAATGAGCAGCCATCCACGGAGAAGAAATGGAGCACAGGCTTGAGCTGACTTCGGGAAGAGATGCATGCCAAAGAATCACGTATGCACCATTCCCTGCCACTCCAAAACATACATGCAAGTTAGAATCCTAGACTAGCAACGCTGGACGACTGGGTCGGGTTCAGAGGCTGCATGAAGTTCCCCACATGCCACGCAAGCATCCCCAGATCTTAGATCGGGCAAGAGAAATTTTCGCTTGCAGGGCTTTCGAGGCAAGTCGAGGACGAGCACACTGGCACGACTAAACCCTAAAGCCCCTAAACCCTAAACCCTAAACCCCTAAACCAAGGAGGGTTAGAGCAGTGGGGCCCCGGCCTCCTTGATCAGCTGCGGCCCGTCTGTGACCTGGGAGGCATGGACTCTTGGAGCGCCGACTCCATCTAACGTACGGGCCTTGATAATTAGAATAGGGTTTTGGGGTTCCTTATTAAAATTAAAGTAAAATATTCCTCAAATTTTAATTACTAAGGTTCCTACATTAGCCACCGCACCTGGAATACAAAGATGATGCTCACACGCATCTGCCACAAGCGGGCGCAAAGGAAACGAAAGTGCAGTTTGCTTCCGATTGGACCTCCAAGTCTGCGCCGGAGAGGTCGATGCCCATTCCAGGATCCTCTTGCAGCCTCGAGTCATTCTGAGTCCGAGACTCTGCCCCACCCCTTTGCTAGCTTCGCATACGGGTTTCATCCTACAAGGCATGAGAGTCTTTAGAGACCGCATGACAGGATTGAGACTTGCGGCTCTGCAACCCGCCTACAAGACGTCCTTTGCTAAACCCGAGGCCTCTGCGCTGCACGCCAGAGTGCACTATCAGCAAACGCATGCAAGAACACCGGGTGCCATGGCCGCGAGTCCAGAGACAGAGCCTGCACGTCAAGTGTCTGATTCTTCCCTTCAGTCGCTCTCCCTTGCACTCTTCCATGGGGACCCTACTTCAGAGGCAGCTCCCTGCCACAATTTAGCAATGCCTGCGCACTCTGGCGTGGCCGGAAGATGATTTGGATGTCTCCCACGCTGAACCTGGCGAGCTCTAAGAATGTGACGCGTAGCTCTACGTTGAGTTGGATCAGAAACCATCAAAGCGAAGCTATCATGCTCCCGCTGCCTTGAGTGCTGACGAGACTCCGCGGCTGTCCCGTGCTAAGGTGCGAACACAGCATCAGCTCGAATTCCGGAGGTACGCTGCAACAAGAAATCCCCAAACCTGCACGATGCGCAGCTGGCAGGCTTCAGCTGACTGTTACCTTTTTTTGAATATCATTCGCTATACGCCTGTCGAAGTTAATGCTGCTGCGATTGCAGTGATGACAAAAAGGCAGGTGCTTGCTACTTGCTCGTAGGCGTCTTCTGCAATACTGAAGTAGCAGGGGCATGTTCGGAGGCTTGTTACGATGAGCCTGCTGCTGCGACACGCGGCTCTGTCATCGCCCTTTGATTTGCACAATCGGCCCGCTAGGCTGGCTCTGCACAGTCCCAACTGAAGGCTGAACTCCAGACTGACATGAGATTCCCCGATATTTTGAGCATTTCGTCTGGGATCCGGTGCGATTGCTTACCAGAAATGGTCTGAGAGGCCCGCCTGTGCCCGATAACCGTAAGATGCCACAAGACCAAGGCTTATGACTATTGCAAGAACAAGGACCATACAAGCTCAGCCTTTGTGCTGAGTGACACAATGCCTGGGTGCGACTGCCGTCTGCAGTGGCGCTCGTCCTGCGTCCACTCGGGTACTTCCACGGCAGGAGAAACGACATGTTTTTCGGTTGTATCCAGCAAGCTGCGTTGAGGTCAGAATCCCGGAGCACGGCAGATTGGTTGAGTTTGTAGCTGCTCGGTCTCGAACTGTCTCGGGCCCCACAGACGATCCTGTCCACAAAGCCTCAGAGCATTGCACCTGGCAAGCCTACGATCTTTGTGTTCCGCGAACCCCATTTGGAAGCCCCGCCTGAAACGGTGCGTGCTTGCCCGGTCAGCGGGTCCTCCGGGCTTGCGTTGGCACTACGAAGGGTGTGGTGGGCAGGTGCACTTCGAGAGAGTATATTGGGCAAACGTTCCAGTGGGATCTCAGTAGGACCATACCGAAAGGCCGCAGCATCGAGAACGGCCCGAAATGCAATACTCAGCTGCGGCAGCGGGTGTACACCTCCCTCACTCTGGCCCATCCGAATGTCCGTTGTGTGCAGCGATGCCACGAAAGCGTCTTGGCCTGCGGGGAGGTGGATCGCTGTGGTTTGCGACATCGAGCTCAGGCGTTCTGCCGACGTGACCCGGAGATGAACCCTGCCCATGAAACCTTACGAACCTAAACCATGCAAGCCTTGAGTGATATATCATGAACCCCACAAGACCTACATCACAAAACAAACCTTTTTCCCACTAAACTTACTAAGCCGCACTTCACCCCTAAGCAAAACCATTCTAACATGCAGATACTTGAATCAAAGCACGTCGCAAACCCTAACTGCCTAACTAATATAATATATATCCCTAAACCCTATAAGCCCTACCCCTCATAAACCCTTCACCCTAAACCCTAAGCCCTACAGTTTGAACAACCAAGCCCTTCTAGGCCCCCTTTCAGCCCTCTTCGCCTGCAAGAGCCGTCTGAGTCGGCCAGGCCGAAATGGCGCGGAATCGGAAGCTGCCAGCGACAGAGGGCCTGGGCTTTAGGGTTTGGGTTTGGGATGCACCAAACAGCAACCGGACAACATCTGCACCTGCCCTCAGAAAATGCCGGTACAGCTTCGAAACCGACTGCTACATGCAAAGCCACCTGGTTTGTAGAGACATGATGTTGGCAAGCAGCCCGAGATATTCGGACATTCGAGCTGAGCGAGCAAGCCTCATCAACCGCCGCTGGTCGCTGTACTGCTGGGAACCGTGCGAGAGGAAGGTAAACTGGATCATGTTGCCTGCCGTCACATGCCAGCGGTTCGTGCCGTCGCACTACGTTGATAATCACGGATCCGGCATACAGCCAGACCAACTGATCAGCGACGTGCTTTATGCTTCAGACTTCAAGGCTTTACGTTTAGGCATGGCTTCGGATTCGGCTGTCTGCTCCGTAAATGGGGAAAATCTCGATAGTTTAATCGAACCTATAGGCTTGCGGCTTTCACGTACTTCCCCTCGGAAGAATTGCTATTTAAGCCTGAAGCTTTGGGGTCGAGGATTGGTATTGCACGATGATTTGAAACGTTCTTGAATACTTGGAAGGCCAAATTTGTCACACGCTCCTTCCCCTTATGACCCCGCCAGCTCCCCTTTCGTCGGTGACCGTTTTGACCCGGTCGACCACTTCAGGTTCTGCCGTGTTGACAGTGTCGGACTTCCGGAAGGGGGTGTCACGAAGGTCGTTCAAACTGGGGCTGTTGCTCTGCTCTGTGACCGGCTGAACTTTTACATGTCTTTACGTCTTGGAGCTCGTCTGCGCAGGTGAGATCAGACGCACTTCGTTTGGAATTGAACATAATTCTGGCCCCTGCCTCCGATGTCCTGCAAAAAAACACGATGCGACAACGGTCGAGTATCAGAATGAGTTCTGCTAGATGGTAGAACAGTCCATCGCGATACGAGCTACGATGCAGATGCGCGACGTGCAGTGCAACGTGTATCCCGAGTCTGCATACATACTATGACACCAGGACAAGTGATGCAACTTCGACTGACACATGTGCGATAACAACCCAAAATGAGAGCCAACAAAGATGCAGACTCAGGCTTCTCAGCAGTGATGCGTGCACATTTCATATCGCACAACATGAGCATGGCCTCTCTGCTTGGTACACCAATCCGTCCAGACTCAATGTCCAAGGTGCGCAAAAAACCCAGTGTTACAACGCCTGTATGCACTTCTGCTATTACTACTACTGCTACCACTACTACGACCACTACAGTACTACTACCTGGACTCGGAATTGCTGTTTCAGTCAGTGGATGCAACGCCTGCACAGCGTGGCCGAGGGAGGGAGGCCAGTTGCAGGACCTCCACTGGCGCACAGCTTCTCTCCGTTTCAAGGGGTCCCCACCCCCAAAACCTCAAAATCAAGCACGACAGCACTGCACTTCACAGCCGAACCCCCAAACCGAAGAAGGATGTCCACTGCTATAAGAGCTGTCATGCACGAAACTGCGAACGATCTTTCGGGGACTCGTCAAGATCACGATGACTAAGTGACTAAGTTTGGCCGGCACTGCGACCGAACCCAAACCCAACATCCCGAACCTGCACAAGCCCAAAGCCAGGAGACCCGAAACGCCACAAGCCCAAAGGGCTTCAGTCCTAAAACCCCAAGCCCCAAACCCTCTGCCCCAGACCATAAACCCTAAACCCGAAACTCTAAACCCCAATACCCGAAACTCTAAACCCCAATACGCTATACCCGAAACCCTAAAGCCTACACCCGAATCCCTAAACCCCTATACCCGAAACCCTAAACCCCTAAACCCCAATTGCAAGGACGGGCCTCCGGGTCCAAGGAGAGATCCCGGAAGTCGCGGCAATTCCGGAGATCCGCTTCCAAGGAGGCGTCCTTACAAGTCGTGAGATGGGTCTAGGCCTCCAGGGGTTTAGTAGGATTTAGACTAAGGGTTTAGGGTTTAGGGTTTAGGGTTTAGGGTTTAGGGTTTAGGGTCTTAGAGATGGGTCTCGGCCTCTTTTGGCTTTAGTAGGATTTAGGGTTGAAGCTCTAGGATTTAAGGCATTTAAGGTTCAGGGGTGGGAGGGCAACATGTATAGAGGGGTTGTAGGGCTCAGGGTTTAGAGGTCCTTTTAAATTGGGTGGTATGATTTTGCGGACTAGATTAGGACCCCTGACTTGCTAGCCGGCAAGTTTGGAGCTGATATATGTATGTGTGCAACATATAGATGTATATATGCACACACTCATACTAAGGTATCAGTGTGCTTGTGTTCGAACTGGAGTGGTAAAAAAGGTCTGGGTCTACATACAAGTCTGGGGTATATTCGGGCTTGGCAGTCAGGTTAACTTCCATGTTTGTGTCTCATTACCTGTGCCTTCATATACATGTACCAAGGTACCCAAGCAAGCTAAGCAGCACTCGAACGAGAGCCTAAAGACGTTGGGTACCGTGTCACAGCCTTCGTCAACAAGGGGAAGGTATACAGGTGATAGGATTGATCTGGTGGTAATTAAAGCAAGCGTTGTCTTCTTTCGAATAGGTCCTGTGCTTTGAGGCCCTGGCAGGTACCGGTACGGCAAAGTCAAAGCTAACCGGTGCAGTTACCTGAGTCCACTTGTGGCTTGTGGTGTCGGCATAGTCAATAGTAGCCGCGGTGGCATACAGCAGCAGTAGCAGTGACGAGTCGTCAGCGTGCCATCGTCGTGGTGGCAGCTTGTCGTACTTCGCAGCAATTGTTGGTGGTGTGGGTGGTGCCGCAATAGGAGCGGTGACACCATACAACATGCAAACCACACACGCTTCCAGTTGGTTTGCATGGTTGCAGGGCTTGCGCGGCTTCCGTCATTTTCAGGCTTACACCTAAAGCTTCAGATGTTTAAGGCATGACAGTAGTCCAGTCTGAGTCACCTTGAGCGTGTCTCCGGGTCCCAGCATCAGGTCCTGACAACATGAACAACGATCTGGGCCAAGACGAATCACGTGTTTATCTCAGCCCAGAACCAGACATACCCATAATGAAACTGCCCGAGAGTTGAGGTGCCAGGGAGGACAACGACCGCGAGAGCTGCTTCAAATCATCTCTTTCCTCCTCCTCCCTCCTCCTACTCCTCCACCACCTTGGCTCCATTGACCCCTGCGCTTCATCCTTCTCGTATGTCCCAGATTAATAGATGTAGCCACTGCTTCAATGCCATCCGGCTCCTCTGACTATCCCGAAGACAGGGGTCCTGAAGGTCCAAGGCAGCAGTGATTGGCAACTCCTGGGCCTCGGAGGCTTCTGCGACAGAACCTCGAAACCACCAGTCAACCAGATGTACGTGTGCATGCACGTATGTAGGCGTGCAGGCATGTACATATGTAGGTAGATATGTATGTGCGTATATGTATGTAGGTATGTATGTATGTATGTATGTATGTATTTATGTATGTATGTATGTATGTATGTATGTATGTATGGGTAGTTGTCAAAATTATGGTCCCTTTTGGGGTCCCCTAAATAGTAGGTGCCGTATTATAATAAGGCCCCAAAAAGGGACCATAATTTTGACAACCACCCATATGTATGTATGTATGTATGTATGTATGTATGTATGTATGCATGTACGTATGTATGTGTGTATGTATGTACGTATGTACGTCTTTTTGTGTATGTATGTATGTATGTATGTATGTATGTATCTATCTATCTATGTATGTATGTATGCATGGACGTGCTGGCGAATGTACACTGAACATACAGCTCTGATGTGTGTATATACCGTTTCATTATTTCGCAGATGTGTGTTAGCTTCGATTTAATTGTTTTAATGTACTTTTCGATCTTATACCCGTTTACGTGTTTTGCTTCATATGCATTCATGTGTTGAGTGATTGACCTATTCGATGTACTTGCATACAAAAAACTAAGACCAATTCTGCAAGTGGGCTGGTGGATGCAAGAGGGCTCATCGTTCAGGTTCAGGCTTCCTAAACCCTAAACCCTGCGGGTTTGTCCTTTAGCAACCCTAAATCCTAAGACCTAGACGGTTTTGAGCCTGTAGGTTTAGGGAGCCCTAAACAATAGAGCCTAAAGCCTAAACCCTAAACCCTATCTCGGGACCAAGCCCACAATGCCAGGAAGCCGATCCGCTGAGCTCTTGTCAGGGGCTGCACATGGCCTTGCAAAGCAAACTAGGCCCAGGAGAAGCGAGCTTCAGCTTAGCTTCATCCGTGCATGCATACATAAATACATAAGATATGTATAGATCTTAGACTATCTATTTGTGATTAGATCGGTGTACACACATCAGCAATAAACAATATATGTATGCATACGTATATAAATAAAAAACTGAAATATAATGAAAGATAGATAGATAGATAGATAGATAGATAGATAGATAGGTAGATAGATAGATGGGTAGGTAGATAGGTAGATAGGTAGATAGATACATATGCACCGTGTCGTCTATGCCAGCTCGCACTCCCGGATTCCCTACTGCAGAATAATCAATCAAAGGCCTTCTGCGCTGAGGCGGGCGTGGCGCACATTTTGCAGTCGTCCCCCAGGCCTGAGTGCTGCGACCTATACAGAGCCACTAGAAGCATAGCAACCCTTGTAGTAGCCTTGATTTCAACCTTTAAAATTACCCTGACAGCAACCCTCATAGGAATCTGAGGCAGGTGCGTGGGTTCGTCAATCCACACTGTGTACCTGTGCACGGCCGAAGTATTGTGCGTCATTGCTTGTGATTATCAGCAGCGTTGCTGGTAGCCGAGCAAACATGGATGTACATTTCACAAAATCTGCTAGCCGACGTTAAATGCCTGCACATATCACCTACCTGCCTAACAACCGACTGACCGACCGACCTGCCTACTCTGTCATGCACTGGTACATTTACTTACTCACTGACTTACCTACTCACTGACGTACTCACTTACTTATCGACATACATACATATTACATACATTCATACTTTGTCTAAGTAACTTGGATGTCAGATGCATGCTTACATAATAGCATTTATGCCCCAGCATTCTTCGTGCTGCATGCTTGCTTGTTCATGTACATCAGGGAGATAGCAGGATGGCCTCCAAAGCGTTGCACCAAGGAGTAGATCGAGCTCCGGGACGAAAGGCTCCAGTGACCTGCCACGCCAATTTTGGGCACAGCGACGAGTCTCCAAAAAATGCGCACGGCGGCACCACTGCGACGTCGCGGTGGTGGCTTCGAGCAGCTGCTGCCTTCCGAGTCCGGAAAACTCAAGAGACTGGCCCCGAAGTGGATTTGGGGTTTAGGGTTTAGGTTTAGGGCCAAAGGTGTGCCTTAGGATGGAAGTGATCTCGCCATCCAAACGCCTACAGTAGCTGGCAACAGGTGCACAGTTCCAGAGCAGTGAAACGGAATTTTGGGGCGCGGGCCGTGCATCTAGCTGGTTTACTCGCAGCACCTGCAAGCTGTGCAAACAGCGGGAGATCTACTCAGACCCCACTACGCGACTTACAGTTGTGTAGTCGCTGGAACGAAGCAAATAGACATTTTGTCTAAGTCATGACTAACCAGTGGATGCAATAAAGCAAGTTTCGACACGGCGAAACGCCCGCAGCTGGAAACGGGATCGCAAACCATAGCTGCCCCAACAAGCATCGCCGGAGAGAGTACCAGGAAAGAAGCCTTTCATCATTGCAACCGAGGATCACTTGCCATGTCTTCCAGCTTCGTTTGCAGAACCAGAACTCCTGGTGCCCCGCAGCTGCTGCCGAAAGACTGTGAGCATTTAGTCATTCAGACTTCGAATGCCTTGCTTCCCATGCACACAGAACAGTAGAAGCCGAAGTTCCGAAGTTGGAGCAGAACATGGAAGAACGACCGAGCGGCAAATCACGACAGCAGGACAAGACGAGGATACCAGGACGCCTACGGATGACTTTGAGTTTGGGATGTTGGGCTTAAGTTTGAGGGCTTAGGGTGCACGGGGATGTCCTGCCCTGTTGGCTACTCATATGTTCGGATTCGGGGCCCAGGCATGCCCAGCTGCGTAGGTTTTGCAAAACGTTTGATGAAACACACACGAGGCTGCGTAAGCAGCGTACATGAGAAGTCTTGTATAAGACGGTCCGAGATGAAGAGCATAATAGATATGCTGGCTCAGCAACTCAACAAGTTTTAGAGGCAGGAAAGGAGCAAAGCGTGAATTGGCAGAGCACCAGTCGGAAAACTGAAGACATGGAGACACCACGAGATCAATAGACAAACGGACAAACGCAGGGACAGGAGATAGCTGGATGGCACTCTTAACCAGCAGGCACTCATATACTGCACTTGCGTGTCGCTGCATCGTATACGGCCTGTTTGTGGCGTGATCGCATGTCTGCAGGCATGTATGCACACTTTTCTTTACAATTTCTCGTTCAATAATAATTACATTCCAGCTTCCCGCTTGATTCCTGCATTCCTACGGCTGACGGTCTTGAATGTGGCATCTCCGCATGCTTGCCGACACTCGAACTTTAACATGCAAAAACAGACCAGATCACTCAGGAAGCTCCGAAGCTCCTGCGCTGTCGGCGTCGAGGAGGTGAAGAAGACCATCGCGACATCGCAGCCAGTGCTCGTGCAAGAGATGATGCTAGCACTCGCTACTGACCTATAGAGAACCCTAGAAAGTTGGAACATGGTTTTAGGATGATTAGTGCTGGGATTCCCTATACTTTACATTAAGGGCATGAGGATACTGATGCTCCAACCGTCTAGCTTCTACTGTAGGACATAGTATCGCAGCGTAGTGTGCTTTGCCTCGGACACTGTAGGATTTTGCGGACTCTTGCAGAAACTTACATTCTATAGCTGATCCGAAGCAGTCACAGTGTGCTCCCACGGCTTCGTTTGCAGGACACGCTACCTAGGCCTGCTGGGGAAGTCCACACCTATGCAGCCGACCATCACCATCTTTTCCGTGCGAGGGGGCGCAGTGGAGTTTCTGCAACGCAGAAACCCGTCTGAGACGTGCTCACAGCGCGGCACTAGCACCAAACATCTACATGTCTACATGGAGCGGGCCCATAGCTCAGCCTACTAGCCTGATCCACTCCGCAGCCACTATCTGTTTCGTGCCGGTCTTGGCGGGATGGTCACTCTCTTCAGGAGCCAGCACCTCTCGACTCCACAAGAAAGAGAAATCGCAAGTGTGATCTCTCCACGCCAGTAGACACTGCGGAAAGAGTCGGCCTGTCCGGCTGCAGCCACCTGTGACAGCTTTGGTCCATACAACTTGTGGTTGTAGGCTTCAAGGCTTGCGAGAATTATGGAGGGTTGCCACTTCTGGCCGGTTTTGGTTGCTGTGCTTCATACCGATAGCCGTGGGAGGGACGGAGATTCCCAAGCTAAACCCTCCACACTCTTACACCAATGTCTCCAGGACTCCGTTCAGCACCCTCGAACCGTGTGCCCTGCCTCAACAGCAGCGTGACCGAGTCGCTGCGAGGGCCACGGCTGTTACTGTCACGGCAAGCAGCACAATATGCGGGAAACCATTTTCTCAGATCACGCGCCTCTCGTTCAGCTCAAAGGTCACCTGCACACCCTTCAGCACCGGCATCTTGGCCAGACAGGGGGCATCGCCACACACCACTGACCACGTCTACCCTTGCTCCATTCCAGTGCATCTCTCCAGCAGATGCTGTAAAGGTACCCCGCTGCCAATTCTGCCAGGCCACCTCCTTGTCGTCACTGCCTTGAAAGGACTTTGGCAGCGCCGTCCTCGGGAAGAAGATGTCCTGGCACGTGTTGGCGGGTGGTTGCAACGAGTTGCAACAGTGAAGAAGATGTCACGGCTAGTGGAAACATAGGACCTGTCCAGCACCTCTCATTCTGGGATACCCTGGTACTTCCTGCATTTGGAGGTAGTTTTGGAGTTGCACCGTCCACATCACACTCCTCCTAGGCACCCCGTCTGCGAAACGATGAAGTCAAATGGATGCTCCTCCGGGTTGTGCTCGCAGCGAATGAAGCCGAAGCCTTTGACCGTGTCGTAGTCACGGATGACGCCCACCGGCTGCACCCTTGGAAGCGACAACGGTCGTCAGTTCTGCCTACTATGCCATAACAGAACTACCATGTACTCTGCTAGCCTTTGCTGTTAAGAGGGGAGCTCCTCAGTCTTGGTTTCAAGTGCTGCGCGTGTGTGGCCTCTAAAGACTCTAACTTACAATATACCATAATCTGCCATAATATACCAGAATATACCACGATATTCCATAACCCTAAAATAACATAGTGGACCCTAAAACAACCCTATTTTAATATACCGTCTACCACAAAACACTACTTGGGGGTTTCCGAAAATAGGGGACCCTAATATAGGGCCCTAAATAGTAGGATCCTTATTATAAGGACCCCCAAATAAGGTACCCTAAGTTTCGGAAACTCCCACTTGGGCCCCCGGACCCGGGCCCCAGAGGGATGGCAGGCTCGTTCGGGTCCACCTCCTGGGGCTTCCGGGGGCAAAAGCGAGCGAAGAGCTTTTTTTGGGGGGGATCATACTCACTAGAGCGTAGTATGGTAGTATGGTAGTATGGTAGTATAGTAGTATCGTAGTATCGTAGTATCGTAGTATCGTAGTAGAGTAGTAGAGTAGTAGCGTAGTATAGTAGTATAGTAGTACAGTAGTATAGTAGTGGTATAGTAGGTTTGTGATGGCATATTTAGGGTATATCATGGTCCTCGACCATCATCCCGTCGGGGCGAGACTCCTGAAATTCCACACAAATCGCATTTGAGGTGAGAAATGCACTCTTCGGAGGTTCCGAGGACGTCGCTTCGGCTTCGTCTGGGAGGTCGTCTTCCGGGATGTCATCCTGTGTGCACTCAACTCAGGACGAGCGATCGCAGCACTGAAGCGAAAGCAAAAACTCTGGGACCTCTCGGCGTTCCTCCTCCTTCACCTCTTGGCGGCCACATGCCAAGCAACAGCCACGATCAAGCTTCGCATCCGTTCACACCAACTTGCCTCGGCCTCTCCTACCAACGAGTCCGGCAGGGGCTCCTTCATCGTCGAAAACAAGAGAGAGCAACACTGCCAGACTTTCGGTAGCACTTGCAAAAAGTAATCGGCTGCACAAAGAGCTCTTGTAGTCTCAGCCTCGACTCGCTGAGGGTGGTCGGGGGGCAAAACCACACGCTGGCGGCCGCCTCACAGGCAACTTCACCTGAACCTTTTTGGGTCGTCCTCTGCCCTTGAAGATACTTGGGAGCATTTCCAGCCTTCGTCTGTGAGTATGTCAAAGTGCCTCTCAATCTTTCGCTTCTTGACCTGATCTCGGCGACAGAAACCATTGCGCACGAGCCCTTACGCTTCGCATGCCTTCGAGGGCCCAACATCCCAACAACAACGTATCAACTTTCAGAAGCCCTTAATTCCACATCCTCCTGCGCCCAGCTTAAATCCCCTTCTCTTCAGAAGCACCTTTCGGCAACAGCTTAAACCTTTTCAAACCTCGCGTAACCTCCCGTGCTCAGGTTGAGGCGCGGGGGAATTTATTCGTGAACTTTCCATAGTCCTGGCCTGTCACAGAGAAGTATACAAACGGCAAACATGGAAAGCAGAGACTAACAGTGTCGGACAGAGAGGGTCACAAGAGCGCACCGTTGCCGCAATCCGCCAAGTAATCCGCCATATCCTGCACCATGTCGTCTTCGAGCTCCGACCTTATGCCAAAGTCTCTATGGAACATGCGAAACGTCTGCACCGGGCAAGAGGCCGTGCCGTGAACAGGAGCTTGCTGCTACAACGCAAGGGATACATCGCTGCAGAGCCCCCATACTAGGAGTTTAAGATCCGCTTTCAGGCTTTCAGGGTTGAGGCCTTGCTCGTACATGTTTCTAGGCGCTTGGCAGCTCGGCAGGCTCAGCCGGCTCAGCACCTCACAGGGATGCGAACCAGACTGCAGAAATAGCCCTCCTTGCACTTTTGCTTCCCAGAATGGCCTCTTGAAGGGGCACTGTTTTCATCCGGGAAGAGCCGGGACATTTGGTGGGCTCGCAGCTTCCCATCGGTCATGATCTTGACCTGCCGAGGGCCGAACATGTCAGGACCAGTCTGAAGCTGCAGCAGATAACAGCAGGCTCTTTTGTTGGACTAAGAAGCGAGACACTCCGCAAGACTCACGGTGCCAACTTCAGCACTTCCAAAATCGTCAACAACTCCCAGCTCAACTCGCGAAGTCTTCTAGGCACTGCAGCTAGCATCAGGGAATCAGGGACCCAGCTTGTAGACGAGTTAGAGCTTGAGGCTTCAAGCTAAGAAGTCAGGCGGAATTGACTTGTGCAATCTTTCAAAAGCCCCGCAGCTCGAGCGCCAGAGCTGTACAGGCTGTTGGCTGGCTGCTGCCTAGCATTTCTCCAACATGGCTTCTGCGAAAGTGGCTGCGTCGGGCACATCACCACCAGCCACCACTATGTCCTTTGCTGTGCGGCTTTGCACGACTCTCTGCCAGCTGCCATCAGAAACCAAAACTCCTATCAATGCTGCCCCCCCTTGAAGATAGGCGAGCAGCCTCGGAAAGCACAGACTAAAACCCTTCCGAGATCTTCCGAGAAGCCTTGATGATGCCGTTGTCCACGACCATAGCGAACCGTTTGCAGCGAGGGTTTCCAAGCACTTCCATCGGCTTCTCGGCGTCCAACACAAGGTCCAAAGCTTTTGTCAGCTCCATGCGCGTGTCACCAAGGAAGGTGATCATGGAGCCTTCCACTTTCTGGTCTTTGGCCCAGCCCTCCATCACGGCTCCATCGTTCACGGCACAGACGATGACTTCAGAAACGCCCTTGGCCTTTAACGCAGCTTGCTTCGCAAGGTATCCCGGGACATGAGTGCCAGAGCAAGTTGGGGTGAAAGCCCCAGGCACACCCACCACCACTGCCTGAGTAAGTGTCAGGGTATCAATGTGCTCCCTTCATACCGTACCAGTCATGGCTACCGAAATGCAGTGAAGCCACCTTCTTTCCGGCGAGACGCTCCGCCATGTTTACCTAGAGCAGCAGCTCAACAGAAGCGCGCACTCGGCAAAGACCAGATGCGAGCCACTGATGCGGCATGTCTTGTCTTTCCAACCGCACAGTCCCTTCGGCTTAAGATCCCGTGCGGTGCCTTGGTGGGTGGGAAGCCGAAGTCCAACTCGATGGCTGGAAACTTGTCGCCCGCGGCAGCGAAGCCACGAAGGCCTAGCAGCAAGGCCGTGTTAAGTGTGGCTATTATGCTTCCATCCTTATCATGACATGCACGCTAGCACCTTACAATACATCCCTATCTAGTAGAACTGCACGATCGTGGTTGTGCATCATCACGATCATGGCCATCCTTGCTTTGGCTTCTTGTTGCAAGAAACAGTAACAGCGCATCATTGCAAGAATCGGAACTGTAGCTGATATCATACTCAATGCTACTGAGGAGGGGAGGGCGAGGGTCATACCATTGTCAATGCTGACAGCACTGCTTGTGCCAGGTATCACTAGTACTAGTATTGCTGCCTCATCTTGATGAAGCGCTACTTCTATTGCATGCAACCAACACGGATTGACGATGACTGATAGACTGATAGATCGCGCCGCTATGCCCCTTGAATGGTCCTCGAATTCTCTGCCCTGCTATACTGGGAGCACCTGCTCTAGATGCACTGGCGCGGGCCATTCTCGAGGCCACCAGGCGAGGAGCAAACATGTTTACTCACCTCGGATTCTTTTGTGGAGTCTCGCATACTTCCCTTCCCAGGCAAGATGATGCAGGCCCCTCTATGCTGAGCCAGCCGCAGTAAAATATGTGGGGACGCAAGGCAGCTGCGATGCGGAAGTTTTGAGCAGTGCTGGAGTGAAGTGTCACTGTAGAAAACAGCGGCTTGTGACAGTCAGCATTCTATACAGCTGGGCAGACGTGTTAGCTGGGCTGTGCTCAACGCAACCACATGCACTGCGAACTAGCCTCGAACTCCACGCGCTCCCCGACAACCTGACTGAGGCCCAGCAAGCACTATTCTCTGCCAAACCCCGAACACAAAGCTCCAATCCCAGATCCGGACCTCCTCCTTGCGCTCTGCAGCAGCAAGTTCTTCTGGCAACTCCGGGCGCACGAAGTACACGTCCTTCCATGTGGTGCAAAGTGATCGCCATCTTCATGCTCAACGGTCTGCAGGCGTCAGGTCTGTGCAGTTCCACACCGGCCTCGTCACAGCTCTCTGACCGGACGAATCCGAAGCCCTCGGAGCGCAGCCAAGAAAGCACAAGGACAGAAGCGGAGGCTCAGTTTCGCCTTGCCGGGCTCGAAAGTCACGATTTCTCCGATCAAAACCTCGCGAGTCTCAGCCCAGAACAGAAAGCGCTCCACAAGCCGCACAAACCCGCCGCCCTTTCCGACGGGAACTCGGCAGAACAAAGACCGAAGCGCTAGCGGCTAGAAGGACCAGAGAGGCGAGAGATGGAACGAGCCACCGGCTAAGCCGCTATGCCGCTCATGTGTCAACTCAACACCCCTTCCACATCGGAACCTCCGACAGCACAAATTACATGGATTCCTGGCTCTTAGAGAGCAGGTCTCCGCCAGAACGCAAGAAAGGCCAGCTAAAGGCCACAAGAGGCCATGGGCAACCCCGGCAACGAAGCGTCAAATTCGGCCTCACCGCCCTGTAGCTGGGGCCGCTCCTCTCTCCGTTCCTTCCGAAACAGTGCAAGTGCGGGCCAAAGTGACAATAGTGACAGACGCCGCAAGAAGGAGCCCAATGCACGACTCACGGCATTCATCCCCTGAACCACGTTAGAGGCGTCAGAAAGCGCCAAAAGTCGCCCCGCGGTCCCTGCCGACAATTTCCAGGTTTTGTGCGCGCGGCTTGCCCTGCTCTTTGAAGTATCTGCCCACAACACAGGCTGCACAGGGCCAAAGCCAGATCTGGGCGCATCCGACCGACCCAGCGCAGAATGCAGAAGAGCTCACAGAGCTCACAGACGCAACCCGGCGCACATCTGGAAGGAGATCTCCAGCTGCGAGAGCTCTTCAAAGCCGGCTTCGTTCAGGTCCTCCCCAGAAAAAAAAGCGGAGGAAAACTCCGAACCGAGAAAGCCTGGCCGGGGCCTTGGGAAGCGAGCTCCTCAGGAAGAAGACGTTGTCGCCGTACTCGCATTCTGGGCGCGAGTACGTCTCACCACGGACACTGAGGCAACACTACAACCGCAAAAATGCGGAGAACAGAAGCGATCAGAGCACCGGGCCCAGGAATCCATAGCCTTTGTCTTGGTGGTACTTGGCCACCCTTGGAGCAGGGAGAGAAGCCCCTCTCTTAAAAAAAAAAAAAAAAGAAAGGAGCCCCCCTCCCCCTCCCCCACCTAAACCCTAAACCCTAAACCCTAAACCCCTCTCTTTTTCCTGGCGCCGGCCCTGGCCTTCCTCGCGTTCTTTGGCCCACGCCTGCAGAGATCCGCCGGGGGCGGAGCCGAAGTTTTTGAAGGCTTGGGTTTAGGGTTTAGGGTTTAGGGTTTAGGGTTTAGGGTTTAGGGCTCTGGCAGAGCAAAAAAAAAAAAAGGGGCCTTCCAGGTTCCTATGGAGGAAGAGCAGCTTCCTGGACGGGAAAGTGAGCAGAGCTGACTAGGCTCCGAAGTCTGGCAGAACCTGGCACGCAGCTTCCCATCGGACTTCTTCTGGAGTTCAAACTCTATGACTTTGTGGAGGACCTGCCACGCCACAACTTCCGGGCCCGGACCAGGCCATGTGCGCTGCATTGATTTGAACAGCTTTGGGCCTTCTCCTTCTTGTCCTCCTCCCTGAGGTCCGGCGGAAGATCTGACCTGCTGCGAGGATGTGGCAAAAATGCCGAAGCTTGTCTCAGCGCGCCTTGCGAAGAAGACGTCGCCCCGTATTCCCTCGACTTTCAGGAAGCCGAAGCCCTTTGAACCGGAGCAGGGATTCAGCACTTCGAAATCTTTGGCAGGCTTTTGCTCTGCGGCCTTGGCGGCATCGTAGCTGGTCACGATGCCGACAGCAACTCGTGGCTCGGGCTGCGAGGGGGCAGTCGGCAGTCACTAAAGCACTGCATCTCCAAACCAGTCGCACACAGATAGCAACCCCGTCAGCAGAAAGTTTGAGAGCATGCATTGCGTCGTGGCGACATTCAAACTAGAGCTGTCCTGGCTGTGCAGCGCCTCGCTTCTGGAAATCCTCATAACACGCAATCCTAGGTCCAGCTTTCTGCTGTTACATTCGGCTGCTCAGCACTGCCGCCCTGTGCGACCAGGCGCGCTCTCGTTTGGAGACAGCTGTCAATCTAGAGGAACTTGTCTGCACATGAAAGCTGGTGCCGTGGAATTGTCATCGCGCCTGCTTCAGTACGCACCACATAAACAAAGACTGTGGATGGACTATACTCGGTATCAATCAGGCAGGCTGGGTTGGCTGTCCAGCTCCATCCAAGCAGAACTAGAAAGATTTGTCATGGGTTCTACTTCATGCGCATCATGGACCCTCCGATGGGAGGACAGTAGTGTACTGCCTGGGAGAGGGCTCTGCAGGGAGCAGTGATCGCTGCCAAGCCAAGACCTTTCCCAAAGGCTGCGCTGCGAAGCGCTTTCAAAGCTCTTCACGCCAGCAGCGCCACTTGCAGTGCTCGTCATGGTGTTTCTGGCCTTAGCTTCCGAGCAGGTGTGCAACAAGTCGAAAACAAGCCCTCTGCACGTGCTTGGCTGCCGACTCTGCTTGCAAATCTTGAGAACATTTTCCGTTGACTCAATAAGATGCGCATGGTTGACCTCCCGCAATGCTGTGGCTCAAGGGTGGTGTGTCCAACCTCGCAGAGCCAAGGCCTTCTTCGCTTCCTGCACCCGGAATTCGAGGTGCTCACCTTTGCCGTACCCGGCATGATTTCCCAGAGTTTTACAAGCATATCATACCAAATCTGACAAGCGGCAAGTGTTACCCAAATGCCGCTTCATTTCCTTTTCACACTTCCTGAACAGGGCACCGGGTTCAGCAAGGTTGGGTGTCACCAGCCTGCTTCCGCACACGCTCCATATCTGGTGAGCCTCTTGCACGTCTGGCCTTTTGCAAGAAAGGACTTCTCTTCCTTCACTTCCTGAAAAACATTCCGGCCGTGCGTGAAGAGCTTGCCGGCTCAGGCTCTGCACACTGGGGCCTCTGGAACGACGCTCTTCACGGAATTCACCAGGTTTGCAATGGCCTCCTGCGCCTGCTCACTCCACTTTGCCCACTACTCAGGAGCCTTTCCCAAACAGACAGACTGAATGCTACTACTCGGCATGACAGGCTCAGATCAATGGCAGGACCCACGCAAAGTCGTTGCACTCCTGCGTCTCGTAGGACTTGTTGCTGTCTGGATCTAATGATCCGAAAGCTTCCTCTGGAATGGAGGGCTGCCAGACAACAGACAAGCTTGCTCATGGGCGGTGAAGCCTTGATGTCATCATACATCGACAAGTCGAATGCCACATCCTCTGAAGCCCCGAGAAGGAAGCAGTGGCGCGGGGCAGTAAAAGACTCTTGACATCTCATTCGTTACACAAACGATGCTCCGCGGTCCTGGTTGCTCGAGGTGCTTGATGTGCCTTCCGCCTGCATGAGCATGAGCAGGAGGACGCCAGAGATGCGAAGTCCTCGAGACCGGGGAGCAAATAAATAAAAGATGTTGGATCTGGCCGCCCCTCCCTCATACAGCAGCCGGGTCCTTGAGAAAGCATTTCGAGGCCAGGGAAGTCTCGAATTGGGGACCAAGGTTGCTTGGAGGGGATTCAGGCACCTGGAGTTGAGGAGCCAAGGTGCACTGGAAGCAAGCGATCCACCCAGCACCTTCTCATTCCCCTCACATGCAGACAGTAATGTGGAACAGAAATGCCTGAATAGTCGAAGGAGTCGGACAGTGCAGTCGCCAGCAGTGGCTGTTTTGTCAATGCAAGTGCAAGGTCGCTAGGAAAACAAATATCGGCGATAATCACAGCAGCATCTGTCGGTGGGATTCTAGAGGAAGTACTTGCACTGTCGACTTTGGCTTCTGGCCCCCCACCGTTTTCAAAGGTAGCTGCGGCCTGATTCTCGCCAAGAGAAGTGCCGAAGAGACAACTGGGACTTCGCAGTGCCTGTAAGCTTGGGGGCGAGCAAGCTCACAAAGCCACGCGCAGAGCGTCATCGAGCCGGGGGGCCGGAACCGAAAATGGGGTTTTGGTTCTCCGGCTTTTAACAACCGCCTGAGGCCATCTTTGAGATATGCTAGCTGCTAGCTACAAGCCTCTGTGCATAAACGTCACCGCATCGGCTGCCTCAGTATAGTGTATGCTTCAGCCATATATGCTCTCCTTGGATCAGCAACATTGGGGACACGACGCTTGAATCTTGCGCACGCAGCTTCGAATGTGTTGCGGGCATGATCTCAGCTCGAGATTCAACATCTTCGCCGCAGGAAGTGGAAGATCACGGGGAACGCCTGAGACGATGCCACTTTTGACCAGCTGTGCTGCGCCGATGTTTGGGTCGATCTTCAACGCGGTGCGAGTTGTTCGTGGTTCAGCAAGCAGGGACTGGCAAAGGAGGCTGCAGCTTCTGCAGATTAGGCACCAATCCGATCGCGCAAATACCTCGGGGTTCCGATCGCATCACATGTAGCTGCTACATGACTACATGTCAACCAATGAGAGGCTACTTCTGCAATTGGGAGTAGAAGAATCTGTTTCGCAAGGTTGCGCCAAACAGGATGCCAAGCGTGGCCGCAGGTTTTCCGGAATGCCATACACCTCGAGCTTCCAGCAGCTGGAACAAACCATTTGGCACAGTAAGGCTGCAGGTGAAAATCCCATCGAGATATCTGAGCCGCGCCTGCACCCGTTTCTGCATCTGTGACTGCAAATCCTCGACGGGCGCCTCGTCGAAGAGCATCTGCGACAGGGCCGGTTTCCGCAGCGCCGGAGCCCATGTGGACACCGAGGCAAGGAATGAACCATTGTATTGATGTTGAAACTTCATGCATCAACTGAATTTGCGAACCTCCTTCCACACAACATTTCTACTCACGCCGGCCTGCGCTACGCTGCAAAGGAGAGCGTCGAGGGGTTCCAGCAGCCCCTCAACGATGGCCGCCTGACCAGGCAACCCAAATCGCCGGAAGACGACAACAAGGAGGGCCACGGCAGCGCCACGACGACGGCCACCGCAAGAACCAGGGCGACGGTAATGGGTATAACACTGATAGTTAATCTGAAGAATAGCAGCAACAACAATAATAATAATGCTAATAATAATACTAACCATGATTGTCATAATAACAATAATACGAATAATAATACGAATAATAATAATAATAATAATAATAATAATAATAATGGTAAGAGTTGAAAATAATGACGATGATGATGCCGTGCTGCTGCTGCTGCTGCTGCTGCTGCTGCTGCTGCTGCTGCTGCTGCTGCTGCTGCTGCTGCTGCTGCTGCTGCTGCTGCTGCGGCCGCCGCCGCCGCCGCCGCCGCTGCTGCTGCTGCTGTTGCTGTTTGTGTTGATGTTGTTGTTGATGATGACGATAAATATTTCAACGAAGAATAAACTATAA